TCTTCCTCTTGAGGGGTGACCTGAATTTTACGCAGTATTCTAAAAGTGGCCTCACCAATGTTCTGTCCTGCTGCAACATGACATCCCAACTCCTATACTCAATGTACTGACCAATGAAGGCAAGTGTGCCAAATGCCTTCTTCCCTACCCTCTCAACCTGCAACTCCACTTTCAAGGAACTATGCACCTGCACCCCTACATCTCTGTTTGGCAATACTCCCCAGGGCTCTACCATTAACTGTATAAGTGCTGCCCTGGTTTGCCTTACCAAAATGCAACACGTCATTTATTTAAGCTCCATTTGCCACTCATCGGCCCATTGGCCCATCTGATCAAGGTCCCATTGTACTCTGAGATAATCTTCACTGTCCACTACACCAATTTTGGTGTCATCTGCAAACATTCTGCCAAATAACTTTAACAGCCTGCTCAGGCAACCACACGACAAGATCAACCCTCTCCTGTTTATGCAGGATCTCGAGGACACTATGTACTGACCACTGCCTGATAGACATGTGGTCAAGGGTGCTTTTATTTGCAAATTTTTCCATGAGAGACAGGTGATGTGATACGTTCCAACTACTTGGAGCATTCTGCAGCAACAAAGCCAACTCCAACGTTTGCAGCACCAGGTTGGATAGGACCTCTGTATGTCATGACCCTTGATGTTTGTGTACTGAGGGTCTACGCACAGCTTAATGCAGCTGCAGACAAAGGAGGCTAAGAGGATGAGGGCAGTGTTGGGTATTTCCTTCTTCCCCCCTCCCCTTATCCAGAGCTTTTTACATGCTGTCCCCGCAGACCTGGTCCATCTTTAACCTCCAGATTTTTTTTTCCTTTATTCCTTTATAACGGGATGAGGGCATCGCTGGCTAGGCAGCATTTATTGCCCATCCCTAATTGTCCAGAGTCAACCACATTGCTGTGGGTCTGGAGTCACATGTCAGCCAGACCAGTTAAGGATGGCAGTTTCCTTCCCTAAAGGGCATTAGTGAATCAGATGGGCTTTTCCAACAATCAACAATGGATTCATGATCATCACTAGATTCTTAATTCCAGATATTTTATTGAAGTCAAATTCCACCATCTGCCATGGCAGGATTCGAACGCAGGTCCCCAGAATATTATCTGGGTCTCTGGGTTAACAGTCCAGCAATAATACCACTAGGCTATTGCCTCCCAGATGAAGTAGAAGATGACTTGGGTGACTGCTAAGGCACTGGATCAGGGAATGGGCTAGACAACAGCAACAGTGACAGTAATACCATTATTGGGTGAGAGAATTAAACTGACATGGTAATCCAGAATTACCTCATCAAGCAAAATTCCCTAATGTTCTTCAACAACCTCTTTTCAGTAAAGGTGAATATATAAATTTCCTTAGTTGATTTACTTTGTAAATGGATCGCAGTTAACATGCAAGAACCCCAAAAAACCTCTGTGTACTAATATTTACAATCTTCATTTGAACATTTGTTTTTTCATGTTCTTACCAAAGTGAATTTCACAATTGTAACATGATATTCCATCTGTGATCTTGTTTCCCAGTCTCTGGGTTACTGATTCTTGCCCCTTTCCTTTGCTTCAGCAATGAACTTGGTCTATGGATTTTTTTAACATTAATTTGTTACTTTTCCACCTTCAAAAGCATAATTTTTCTCTTTTATTGTGACATTATCCCATACATCATTTTTGCTTTAAATTGGTACCGACCCTTCACTTAAACGATCTTTTAAGGCACTACATAAAGGCAAAGACTTGGTCTGGGTCATTTTTCATATAACTTCAAAAGAGAACCCCTTCAGATTCTTTAACTTGTGTGGTTGAATATCTGCTAGACATAGGTCTGTTAATTGTGCAACTTTTTAGCGTGATGTGAGATCATATCTTGATGTGTCCATATGGGGGAGCCAGTGTTATTATTATTTATATCAGGCCTTTTTCTAGCTATCGTACTCTTGCTTTAAAGATTTAGGCACATTTTTAATGCATACAGTGGTCTTTGACTTTGAAACATTTCATGCTCCCGATGCTTAATAATGTAACAACAAATGTTAATTGAAATCAGTTTGTTTCTGGACTTAATAAGTTGATGTTCATTGCAACTTCATTGGGTCCAGAGCATGGAAGTGGCTGGGGGATTGGTTTGGGACTTAGACGGTTGGAGATCGGGCCCAATGTGGGAAGAGTGAGCCCAATGTGGTGGTGATGGAGTTCCTTGGCATCTACGGTGGTGACAACAGCAGGTAGCCCGAAGACTCCCGGAGTGCAAGCCAAGCATGGGTAAGCACTTAAGAAAGACTTGAAATTTTAACTTTATTTTTCTACTTAATACTAAGAAGAATTGTAATGTTTAACTTTTAACCTTGTTTCTTTATTTTTCTACTTTATACCTAAGATTTTGTACCTAGGTTCCTTTATACCTAAGATAATGCCGGGAACGGTGACTTTGTACACTTTTCACTGTACTTGTACTTCTGTACTTGGGTAAATGTGACAATAAAATCTAATTCTGATTCTAATTCTAAAACACGTTAAACAAAGACATTTGAATTATGTTGCCCTTAATATGAGAATTAAAAAATATCTAGGATTTCTGAATTAGCTGTATTGGCTCCAGAAAACAATAAATGGAGATGATACCTGGTGAATTCTCCATCCTATGTCTCTCTCTCAATACTAAGACCATTACTCGTGGAGCTGGACAAACATAGCAGGTCAGACAGCATCAGAGAAGCAGGAAAGTCAATGTTTCGGGCTGAAACGTTGACTTTCCTGCTCTTCTGATTCTGACCTGTTGTACTTGTCCAGCTCCACGCTTATTGACCCTGGCTTCTAGCATCTGCAGTACTTACCGAATCTTAGTCATTAAGACCATTACCATCTGACATTTGTGAAATTCTTGCCAGATGGATTGTATGCACTGTTTTATACTTGGGGAATCATTTTATGGTTTGATAGAACAACAAAGTAAAACTTAATGGATAACAGCCCCTTAAGACTGACAAATTTAATTTAGAATACATTTAATTGCCTACTTCCCTTTGAACCCCTTCAAAAGGATTTTTTTTATTTTTGGAAAACCAAAAACAAGAGATGACAAATAGATCCCAGACAATTTTTGATGTGTTTGTGATTCTGGTATTTCACTTAAGCTTCTAGTTTCAAGATAATGTTTTTATGAGGTTGCAGGTAGATTTGGGAACCTTCTCTGGTTAGCAAGGTGCTACCAGTGCTGTTTGCCAGGGACTTGCACTGGGATCTCATTCTTTGACCAAGTAGTGTAAAAAACAAACAGCTCGTCTGTGATTTGGCTATTGCAGAGAATAAGTGTGGAAAAGTAAGCCAATTAGAAATATGAACCGGGAGAAGGGAGGAAACTCGATATAGAGGGAATCGAATAAAACCACTGCCCTGTCTCACTAGGACATGAACAGACAAGCCACTTGCTTGAATCCTCATCAACAGAACTTGTTATACATGGAGACCACGCTTATACTGCTAAAACATACTATCCAGCCGGAAAAGCCAGCAAAACTTGCCAATAAGACAACGATGGTCCAACTCATCAGAATAGAGCTCCATTATTCTGCACTTAGCAGCCTCTGCTCATTTGAAAGACAAATAATATCGTATCATTGCTCTTTATTAGCTTATCGAATTGATCTGCAATCGATATCTGCGGTTTAATGTTTGCACGTTTCCAGCATTTTAAAGAAAACCGGACATTTCACACGCAGAGATAGTAAGAACTGCCGATGCTGGAGTCAGAGATAACACAGCGTGGAGCTAATGGAACACAGCAGGCCAGGCAGAATCAGAGGGGCAAGAAAGTCGACGTTTCAGGTCGGGACCCTGCCGGAAAGGTCAACTTTCCTGCTCCTCTGATGCTGCCTGGCCTGCTGTGTTCATCCAGCTCCACATTGCGTTATCTCATTTCACACGCAGCCCCTGTTGTTTTCACTTTAATTAAAGGGCTCACATATTTTCGCCATGGTAGTGTGTGGGCTTGCAGCTTCGGAATGACTCTGACCTCCCTTCACCTGGCGCCCCCGGTGCAGAGACCTACCCCCCATTCAACCTGGGTAGGGGGGGAAGAGGCTGGAGCAGGGACCCCTCCATTCAACCTGGGTGGGGGGCTGGAGCAGGGAACGCCTCCCCATTCAACCTGAGTGGTGGGGCTGGAGCATAGACCACTCCCCATTCAACCTGGGTGGGGGGCCTGGAGCAGGGACGCCCCCCCATTCAACCTGAGTGGGGGTAGACTGGAGCAGGGACCCCCCATTCAACTTGGGTGGGGGGGCCTGGAGCAGGGAACGCCTCCCCATTCAACCTGAGTTGGGGGGGTGGTGGCTGGAGCAGGGACCCCGCCATTCAACCTGAGTGGGTGGCATGGAGCAGGGACGCACCCCATTCAACCTGGGTGGGGGGCATGGAGCAGGGACGCACCCCATTCAACCTGGGTGGGGGGCATGG